TGAACAACTTAATATGCTAGCCTACATTATATTATTTAGTCCAAGTTGTATTTGCTTTGTTATCTATATGAAGATAAAGCTCTGCAGTCCTCTTGAGTTCTATGGGAATTTTCCCTGAATATACAGTGCAAGATCACAAATTGTAGAGCTTGTTAATGAAATTATTAAAAAATTCTGCTGCAAGATTTATAGTGTTGTATTCTTTCATTAAGGCTCTATTATATGTAGAAAGATGCTCTGTAAACCTTAGTTTCTAGCTATAAATGAAAATGTTGTAACTTGATACCCATGGATAAATAAAAATAATGTTTGATAATAATGACTACTAAAGATATGACTTTTTTGTGGGCGGTTGCCATATTTGTAGCATTGACGATATGCACCATTTTACAGCTATACATTAACATTTACTTTGGGAAGTACAGCATAATCAAATTTTACAGCCAATTAAGTTGATGAGTCACTGTCATCTTTGTAAATTACTGTTTTAGATGTTTGAGAATGCTAGAAAGAGAAAACTGGTGAAACTATCAAGAAGAATGACCTGAACATAAACCTGATTTGCAATTTTCCTCTTGCACTTAATTATGGAAAGCATAGAGCTTTGGTGTAAAATATTTGGTTTAAGAGCTACTTGCTAAAGATCTTTAGCATCTTTGAAACAGAGTAATCCTGTTATGTCATTCTCCCACCTTTTAATTAAGAAAACACATAAAGTACTACTAAAATAATAAAACTGTTTCTAAATGTATGGTGGTAAAGTGATTTATGACCACATATTTATGAGGAATAAAAATGAAAGATTATAGCAAATAGGGGCTGTTTATATAAATCCCATGTGCACTGATGAGAAACTAGATCTCTGAATAATGAACATTCATAATCTAAGATAGGAGAATAGGACTACATATTTTTCTTTAATTGTTTAGCAAAAAGAAAGTTTGCTGTTTGCACATTTGTGCCATTGATTTAGTTGCATAAATGTTTGTGAATTTCAATGTTTTATGCCCTAATATTTATTTCTAGAGCATAAATTTTAAATGTGCATGCTTGAGTATTTGCAAGGAAGAGCTTGTAAACACATCCAGTCAGAGAACAGGTGCAGTACCATGTGATTTACCCCTCAAATCACTAAGTAACACAGCTTGGAAAATGTCTATCCGATAGCTTACAATCAATCCAAAACGTGCCCCAAATGTATGTTATTTCAAAGAACTAGTACCTTTGCAGAAATTACAATGTTCTCACTAACATTCCATTTGTAGATAAAGAAGGTAGTGAGCTGGTTTTCAGAGGTACTGGGTACCCACATTTCCCACACAAGTCTATTGACTGACTGAATATGCTGGTAATTAACAGATCTCTGGATGAAATCTTGGCCCCATTGAAGTCAGTGGGAGTATTGCCATTGATGTCAGTGATCTAGGATTTCACCCTGGTATTTGGTGAAATTCTAATTCCTTTGATGCCAATGGCAAAATTTCAATAGACTTCATGACGTCTTGATATCTACTTAAGTTAACTAATTTTCCCTTCCATTTTTTGCTAATTCTTGCTTAAAATATCAATCTCTGTCTAAGACATAGAAATCATAGAAATGTACGACTGGAAGGGACCTCAATAGGCCATCTAGTCCAGTCCAGTGCACTGTGGCAGGACTAAGTATTATCTAGATCTAGACCATCCATGACAGGTGTTTGTCTATCCTGTTCTTAAAAACCTCCAATGACGGAGATTCCCACAACTTCCTAGATAATTTGTTCCAATGCTTAACTACTCTTACAGTTACGAAGTTTTTCCTAATCTCTAACCTAAATCTCCCTTGCTGCAGTTTCAGCTCATTACTTCTTGTCCTGTGCTCAGTGGTTAAGGAGAACAATTTATCATGCACCTCTTTATAATAACCGTTTACACATTTGAAGACTGTTATCACATCCCCCCTCAGTCTTCTCATCTCCAGACTAAACAAACCCAGGATTTTTCATTTTTTCCTCATTGGTCATGTTTTTTAGACCTTTAATCATTTGTGTTGCTGTCCTCTGGACTTTCTTGAATTTGTCGATATCTTTTCTGAACTGTGGTGCCCAGAACTGGACAAAATACTCCAGTTGAGACCTTATGATTGCTGAGTGGAGTGGAAGAATTCATTCTTGTGTCATGCTTACAACATTCCTGTTAATAAATCACAGAATGATGTTTGGGTTTTACAGTATTACACTGTTAACTCATATTTAGTTTGTGATCCATTATAAACCTCAGATCTTTTTTTGCAGTACTCCTGCCTAGGCAGTCATTTCCCATTTTGTATTTGTGCAATTGAGTATTCCTTCCTAACAGTAGTACTTCGCATTGTCCTTATTGAATTTCATCCTATTTATTTCAGATCATTTCTCTAGTTTGTCAAGATAATTTTGAATTCTAATTCTGCCCTCCAAAGTACTTGCAACCCTTCCCAGCTTGGTATCACTCACAAACTTTATACATGTATGCTGTATGCCATTATTCAAATAATTTGTGAAGCTATTGAATAGAACCGGATTTTGGACAGATCCCTCTGGGACCCCACTCAATATTCCCTTCCAGCTTAATTTTGAACCATTGATAACTATGCTCAGTGTATGCTTTACACTTTACCAGTTGCACACCTACCTTATAGTAGGTTTGTTTAGGCTATATTTCTCTGGTTTGTTTGTGAGAAGGTCATGTGACACAATATCGAACGCCTTACTAAAGTTGAGATATATCACATCTGCTGCTTCCCCCCATCCACAAGGCTTGTTACCTTGTCAAAGAAGGATATTAGGTTGGTTTGACATGATTTGTTCTTGAAAAATGCATGTTGACTGTTACTTATCACCTTATTTTTTCTAGGTGCTTAGAAATTGATTGTTTGTTTCCTCCATTATCTTTCTGGGTACCAAAGTGAAGATGACTGCTCTATAATTCCCTGGATTGTCGTTATGCTCCATTTTATAGATAGGTACTATATTTGCCCTTTTCTAGTCCTCTGGGAACTTTCTCATCCTCCATGAGTTCTCAAAGATAATCGCTAATGGCTCAGAAATCTCTTCAGCCAGTTCACCAAGTATTCTAGGATGCATTTCAGCAGCCTCTGCATATTTTAAGACATGTAACTTGTCTAAGTAATTCTTAATTTGTTCTTTTCCTGTTTTATCCTTAAATGCTATCCCATTTACACTGATGTTCACTATGTTAGTCATCCAATCACTGCTAACTTTTCTGGTAAAAATTGAAACAAAAAAGGCATTTAACACTTTGGCCATTGCTGCATTTTCTCTTATTGTCTTTCCCTCCTCACTGAATTATGGGCCTACCCTGTCTTTGGTCTTCCTTTTGTTTCTAATGCATTTATAGAATCTTTTCTTGTTACCCTTTATATTCCTTGCTAGTTTGATCTCATTTTGTGCCTTGGTCTTTCTAACTTTATCCCTACTTGCTTGTTTTTTATATATATATAAAATATATATATAAAATATATATTTTATAAGGATATATATTCATCCTTTGTATTTTGACCTAGTTTCCACTTTTTGTATGACTCTTTTTTGAGTTTCAGGTCACTGAATATTTTTTGGTTAAGTCAGGGTGGTCTCTGACCATACTTGCTATCTTTCCTTCTCATTGGGATAGTTTGCTCTTATGCGCTTAATAATATCTCTTTAAAAAACAGCCAGTTCTCCTGAATTCTTTTTTCCCTTAGACTTGCTTCCCATGGGCTCTTGCCTACTAATTCTCTGAATTTGCTAAAGTTGGCTTTCTTGAAGTCCATTGTCTTTATTATGTTGTTTTCCCTCCTACCATTCCTTAGAGCAGGGGTGCTGGAACAATTTGTATAGTGGAGGTTCTGAGATCCATTGAATCAAACTGTAAACCCTGTATATGATGGAAACCACTTCAAGCCAGGAAGTGTGGCAGCACCCCCAGCACTCCTTGTTCTTGCACCTATGCCTTAGAGTCATGAACTTCATGATCACTTTCACCCAAGCGGCCTTCCACCTTCAAATTCTCAACTAGTTCCTCCCTGTTTGTCAGAATCAAATCTAGAATAGTCTCTCCCCTAGTTTGCTTTCTCCACCTTCTGAAATAAAAAATTATCTCCAGTGCATTCCAAGAACTTGTTGGATAATCCGTGCTCTGCTGTATTATTTTCCCCACAGATGTCTCAGTCGCTGAAGTCCCCCGTCACCACCAAGTCCTGTGTTTTGGATGATTTTGTTAGTTGTTTAAAAAAACATCATCCACCTCTTGTTCTCGGTTAGGTGTGCTCTGCCCATCCTAACCACCCATACCTCAAGCTGCTTCATGTGACCCATGTGTGGCACTCATTTGGTCTGAATTTTTTTCTATGGAAAATAAAGGCTTTATGAGAAAAAGAAGCAAACAAATTAGAATAAGATACATGATTCTCAATTTGAGGAATAACTTAGTGTTAAATATAGGGAAAAGACCTCAAAATAGGCTTTCTTAAACACAGAGACAGATGGCAGCAGCACTTGGCAAATATTCACCTTCTTTTCAACATGTTTAAATAATGTTTATCAAACAATAGATGTAGATAAAAATCAAGGTATTCACTAAATTTCATTTAAACCAGAATGGCAGGCTGCTGTAAAAGTGTCCTATAAATAACAGTAACCAGCTGTTCAATGGGAGTCAGTAAGCCAGAAAGAGAGATTTTTGGAAATACAAATCTATATATTTTTTCTATTTTTCTCATAATCAAATATTTTCTCCTCTTTCCCAGCCCAGAACTCAATATAAAGTTTATAAACCTGGCTTAGTAAATAATGATTAGAGGTAAAACCAGATGGCCATATTTTATCTTGTTTAATGTGTTCCACTGATGGATATCTGGGCTCTAATTTGATCGATCAATTGACTCTAATTGTTTATGATGTACTCTAGGAATGCACATAGGATTATGCACATACGCACAAGCACAAAGTGATCTGACTCTTTTTTTTCTTTCTTTTCCATAGGCTTAGAAAGAATTGCAAGAGATTCAGCCTATGAGCAAGAAGGAAAGGTCCAGTTTGTAATTGATGCTGTATATTCCATGGCCTATGCACTACATAGCATGCATAAAGAGCTCTGTCCTGGATATATTGGTCTGTGTCCAAGGATGAGCACGATTGATGGTAAAGAGCTACTTAGTTATATCCGGGCTGTAAACTTTAACGGTAAGTTATAAGCATTTTTTTCTTCTTCTCTAAATACTTCAGAAGTGACAGGATTTCTTCTATATATAGGACACTTTCAGGCACAGTGGAAAACACAGGATTAGAAGCAGTTCTCTTTTTAATCAGAAGTGTGAATTTTTCCACCTGCTTTGAAACCCCATCGTAACATTAAGCTGCCGCTAAAAGAGGCAGACGTTTAAAAATAAGAATCTGTCAATCACGCTATTCTGGTGGAAAACTGCTATTATAGAAACAACTGGAGAACTCATGCAGTCCTATTGACAGATTAAATTCCTGTGATGGTGCTTCTTTGTGCATTTGTTAGGGAATGAGTTGTAGAAAATGTCTTTTTGCAAATTATTTTCTTTTAAAATCAGTTTAATGATTTTCCTACAATAGTGAATAATTTGGAGGTTGCTTTGTATTTACATATGTAAAACTTGATTAAATAATTGCTATGTGTTCTGGGTCCTGTTCTATGTCATTGGTTTTGATTCAGTGATTTAGTCAATTTTAAGCCATGCAGGGTGCTAAAAAAAACAAACAAAAAAAAACCCAACAAAAACCATCACCACAACAACCTACACTGCATAAACTGCTATGCAGCTGGGATCTGCCTGCTGGAGAAATATAGTTACGGTTGCTTATGCCGCTGTCAGAAGAGGCTATTAAAGAATATACTTAATTTATAGGTATTAAATTGAAAAGAGCAGAACATACTTCATGCAAAACAAAGTTACTGAAAATGTATGTTCTTCATGAAAGTCATAATTGTTGTAGATTACATCTGTCATTATTTTCAGATGAATTGATACAGTATTCTTTACTGGATCCCCCCCACACCCCATGCACACCCCCATTTGGCTGTAATCCACATACCAGACATGCCTCCTAACCATACGCAGAGTAGCACTGTCTATCACAATGTACTCCAATGACCTCAGCTGCCAGCCTTTTATAAAACAGCACAAGGTCATTTTCAATTTAGCTTCCAAGTGGAAGCTGTTTTTGCTTCAGGTAATAAACCAGACCATTTGGTTGATGTGAATATTGTCCGTAGTTTGCAATATATTTATGCTTTCCCAAAAGATTTTTTCTTTCATCCTATGACATTTCCTTGAACAGGGAATCCCTGTCTAATTCAAGTGGGTTTGAATGATTCTTTAATGATTTTAAAGAAAACCTTGAGCAAAATAGGTAACTGACAAACGGGGAATGTTATGATGACAAAGTATGCAGCATATTGTAAGTTTGCAATGATGTTTCCGATGTTTCCAATAAATATTCTTTTGTATTTAAGTTGTTAAGGCATAAAGAAAGTGATCCATTTTCATTTGGTTGGTGTAGAAGTTTAGCATAAAAAGCTAAGGTGTACAGTTTATTTCAAACCACTCTCACCCTAAAGATTGATGAATTTGATTAATACCTGTCGTGATTTCTCTGGTCTGCTGTAACTGTTGCTGTAAATACAAGGAGATGAAACGTGTAGTAAGAGGAGGCGTGTTTTATAAGTATCATGATGGACTCTGATGAGTACATTTTATCTTTTTTTTACATTAGTGATTTATCAGAAGTGGGAAAAAAATGCAGATGAGGTCAATTTTTCAAACCCTAAGAAATACTTGTGTTAATTAATCCCTTATATTGGTTTAGTCCACATACTCTATTAAAGGTAAACTGCACTTTTCAGTCCTTTGGTCTGTGGAACTCATACTGAGGTCAGACAAACAGTGTGCAGCAGAATCTGAGGACCAAATTCAGCCTCTTCCCTAGCTGTAGAGTTCCCCTAGGAAGTGGAATTGATGTGGTTCTGAGGGTACTGTGCAGGGGAAAGGTGGACACAAGACTGTGTGGGCCACGACCAGAAGACTTGTTCTTGTATGGATCTTTCCATCGTTTAACTGTTGTGGTGATGGTAGTAGGGAAAGTTGAATAAGGGCCTGAAGCAGCTACAACCATTGGTCTGGAGAAGATACGGGGAAAGCAGTGGACGTGATATACCTTGACTTTAGCAAAGCTTTTGATACTCCCACAGTATTCGTGCCAGCAAGTTAAAGAAGTATGGATCGGATGAATGGACTATAAGGTGGATAGAAAGCTGGCTAAATTGTCAGGCTCAATGAGTAGTGATCAATGGCTCGATGTCTAGTTGGCAGCCGTTATCAAGCAGAGTACCCCAGGGTTCGGTCCTGGGGCCGGTTTTGTTCAACATCTTCATTAATGATCTGCATGATGGGATGGATTGCACCCTCAGCAAGTTCGCAGATGACACTAAGCTAGGGGGAGATGTAGATATGCTGGAGGGTAGGGATAGGGTCCAGAGTGACCTAGACAAATTGGAGGATTGGTCCAAAAGAAATCTGATGACGTTCAACAAGGACAAGTGCAGAGTACTGCACTTAGGATGGAAAAATCCCATGCACTGCTACAGGCTGGGGACTGACTGGCTAAGCGGCAGTTCTGCAGAAAAGGACCTGGGGATTACAGTGGACGAGAAGCTGGATATAAGTCAACAGTGTGCCCTTGTTACCAAGAAGGCTAACAGAATATTGTGCTGCATTAGTAGAAGCATTGCCAGCAGATCGAGGGAAGTGATCATTCCCCTCTATTCAATACTGGTGAGGCCACATCTGGAGTATTGCATCCAGTTTGGGCCCCCCACTACAGAAAGGATGTGAACAAATTGGAGAGAGTCCAGCGGAGGACAACGAAAATGATTAGGGGGATGGGGCACATGACTTATGAGGAAAGGCTGAGGGAACTGGGCTTATTTAGTCTGCAGAAGAGAAGAGTGAGGGGGGATTGATAACAGCCTTCACCTATCTGAAGGGGGGTTCAAAAGAGGATGGAGGTAGGCTGTTCTCAGTGATGGCAGATGACAGAACAAGGAACAATGGTCTCAAATTGCAGTGGGGTAGGCCTAGGTTGGATATTAGGAAAATCTATTTCACTAGGAGAGTGGTGAAACACTGGAATGAGTTACCTAGGGAGGTGGTGGAATTTCCATCCTTAGAGGTTTTTAAGACACGCTTTGACCAAGCCCTGGCTGGGATGATTTAGTTGGTGTTGGTCCTGCTTTGAGCAGGGGGTTGGACTAGATGACCTCCTGAGGTCTCTTCCAACCCTGATATTCTATGATTCTGTTAAGTCTCAGTCACTGGAAAAGCTCCAGAGCCTCTGTAGAAGGTACCTGGCTCTTCCCTACATGCATGTAGGATGCTGAGCTCTCACTTTGACCAGTAACACATCTCAGACACCTTCATGGACCTTCTGTTGTGGCTGAGAGATATGTACATGTGAAACATTATAGTCTGAACTACAAGAATTTAAATGTAACAAAGTGCCCATGCCAGTAAGTGCAAAATAAATGTGCATGTGCACTTCCATTGGAATTGCTAACTTCAATATACCATTGCATTAAAACTCTTGATTCTAGAAAGTTTAGAAATAAATGTTGGAGTTGGTCATAGGGAACTCACTCTGCCTTAAAAAGTTGGTAAATATTTTAATAAGGAAATGGGTGGAAAAGGGGTAAAAAGCGAATGGCACATATCTCTAAGAGATTTTGCTAGCCTCTTATCTGAGAGGAGGTCACTTGTGATGATGGCGGCAGTGTGGGGAAGTACCTTTCACATTCAGACAAAATACAGCCTATAAAATACTAATGAAATAAGCTGCAGAGGTGTGTTCTTATGATCCACAAGCATAAAAGGTGGTATTTTAGTTATTTTCATAAAAATTGCCAGTGTTCCTGTTGGTAAATAATACATAAATACACTGAAAGCAACATTGGGGTGGGGAAAGGCAGAAAGTTAGAGTCTGATCTTGCAAGCTCTCCAATGTACAGCTCACACTGATTTCAGATGGCCCTTCCTGCTGGGAAGGCTGACTGAATCAGGCCTGGTTTTGCAAGAATGTAGCAATTTTCAATAGCTGGGACAATGAGCATTTTACCAGCTATGTAGATTATTTTTTGGTTTGGCTTCAGAGTATCCTGCTCTGTTCTGTCCAGACTGTTTAGATGTTGGGTCACTTTCTCCTCTCGATTACTCCCATGCAACCATATAGACCTCAGTGGAATTTCATGGGTGTAACTGCTATTACTGTATTGTCACATTGAGTCCTATAGACATGGCTTTGTTAAAATTGATTAAACATAATGCATGATATGAAGAATACCTTCACAGCACCCAGAAAGCTTTGATGAACAGGGAAGAATATAACTTTCTGTTATCTGGAGATAATTGTTTAGCTTTTGAATGCAGGTAATCAGTCTTAAAAGTGCTTATATTTGATGCCTCTTTGTTTACTTATATTTATATTGCAAAGAAGATTTTATTCCCCTGAAGGATTCATCCATGTAATATTCTGTGACACTTTCATGACAGCAGGGTCATCATAATCTCCAAAGCACAGTGTATTGATGTAATTGATATGACATTAGTTTCTGCTTAGATGAACTTCCACAAGTTACATTTTAAACCCAGAATATCACATAGCAGAATGTGATCTTAATAGGGATAGAACTTTTACACTTGTAATGGGAATGAGGAAATTTGATGGATGTGTCAGCTTTTGCACATGAATCCACCTTAGTGAATTGTTCAATCTTTTCTGGAGTGCATGTGTGGGTATTTGTTGTTGTTGTTGTTGTTGTTGTTGTTGTTGTTATTGTATTTGGTTCTTGGGACACCTACCAAACAAAGCAAGCTATATTGAAAACACAATCAATTGCTCTTCATATATAGTGGCATTTGAGTAGTTAATTTGGTTTGATAGGGGAACCTTGAACAACTATATTTTTACAGCATTTTGTAGTGTCATCTGGAAATGTAGAGTTTGTGAAAGCTGGGAAAATCCTAAGAACACTGTTTTATCTCCAGGCCAAAACTATTGCAGTATTGCCAACTCTTGTGAATTTTTTGACTAGTGATGGATTTTGGAGGGTTCTGGAATCTGTCTCATGATGATGTGAAAAGCTCTAGCCCTTTTAAGAAGAA